TAGTTCATCGATCACCGTTCCGTAAAACACATCGATGTCATTCCTGTGTTGTCTTGGAGCTTGATCAAGAGTGGTATCCGATGTACGACCGCTTCAGGGCTGCACCCAATGTGAAAGGTTGTATATACAGAGAGCGCCACCGGGCCAAAAGCTATGATTGCTTCTAACCCGGGTCGAAAGGATTCATCCCATCGTGCTCAAAGCAAACCAAATGTGCTCTTTACCTCTCCACCGATGTCCTTATAGAACATAGTATTGATAAATCTTCAAGTCATGCCCATCGGCCGGGTGCCTCATCATTGTATCTTTCTTACGCTCTTACGCCATGCCAGCATTAAATGACTATTGACTTGACTTTGCACATGTAAACAACTCTATTCACCCGAGAGCTATAGGAAAATTCCAAACGACCTTTACGGACCTCCTCCGGTCTTGGTACCTCATTTGATGGCCCTTCCTTGTACCGTGGAGCTTCACATTTTGGGGCAACTTGTCCAAGTCTTTGTATTTTTCTCAACGGTACAATATGCAATCATTGGAACACGCGTGGATTTTTTTTCAACCTTGAGGCCGATGGGGCATATCATTTGCTTGGCCAAGTATGTCTTTTCCGGCAACTCGCTTTTTCTGGAAGCATTTTTCTTATTGTACCTATCGAATCGATCAAGCCTTTATCGCTTCTATTCGCTTGTCGATTTGAACTCTAACAAAGATGATGTTTGGCTTCAGGTTTGCTCATTGGACAATTCCTATACAATGGTGTTTTGTCATTTTGTCTTATTTTCTCTAAATTTCTCATTTATCTTTCACTAAGACATCCGGCTCTCTACATTACATAGCAGCTTGAGAAATGCTATCGTTATCCCTGTCGTCAAACTAGCGTATTCCTAAACACATTATTAATTGTGGCTATAGGTTCCGTGGTTGACACCGGGTTCCTTGTCAACATCGTGGATGGCTACGTCGTGCATGTCCACATCATCATCGTTTTCCCGCAACATTCACACCAACCTCGCCATACATAGTCCATATCGTATAGTTTGGCATGAACCCTTGATAATCAAGTGCGATCAGATAGACTCAATTTGACGAAAGTTTCTATGATTCTTGCAATCTTTGCATGAAGTGTAAGACAGGTTCGATTCAAAGATGGGCTTTGGCATCGGTGATAAATCGGGCCGACGCCATACATGTACCGCTTTGTCCGCTCGTGATGATGCATCCACTCGATCTATCTCTCGCACAAAAAATACTTTGACAAGAATTACAAAGAATTAATAAGAAATTGAGCTTCATGAACAACAATTGTAGCTCGAAAAGTACTATTTTTGGAAAATATTATTGTACACTAATTATTGGAAAAATTGAAATTAGTAGCCTCGCCCTTTGTAAATTGAAAAAATAGTAAAAACAATTATTACACAATATTGAAGAACAACTATTCTACTCTACTTCTAAGAACTAATTATAGCATCACATACTAACAATGATGATCTTGACCACCATGGAATAATTAGGTAGGAATTTAAATGTATTCATAGACACCAACCTTTTGAATGATGGATTCACCATAATTTGAGCCTTGCACAAATGTCCAATTGAAAAAAAGTGCTCTCTAGAATGGAGAAAGAACTAGAATGAGAATCAAGCAATGTAGCCATCAAAATGAAGCTAATTAAGCAACAAAATCAAAGGAGTGAATGTTTGTTACTAACCTTAAAACAAAAGATCAAGCCATTCTTCAAAATCCAAGCACTAGCTTCATAGTGAAGAGCACCCGCAACAATAGAGGAAGGGTCAAACGCGCCTCTGTTCTCGGGATGGAAGAGAGGATGAAGAAGAGGGACAGCTTGCAGCCTTTTTTATGTTGTAGGTTTATCACACGTCGGTTCTTGGCTAGAACTACAAGCGTTGATAGAGCCCAATCATCGTTTCGGCTTGGCTTAAACCGGCAAAGTGATGAGTGCCGCTTAAAACACTGCCGGTTCAAGCCACAAACCGGCAGTGATATGGTCCTTCAACGCCGGTTTTAGCCCAAAGCCCCAATCATTTTTTCATTTTCAAGCTCATAACCGGCAAGAAGGTACATCACCGCCGGTTTTCATAAATCCCGGCGGTGATGATGTCTGGCAGTGATGTGCAAATCTGGCGTAGTGACGAAAGTACATGTAAATTCAGGTGAACAAGTTTCCATCACTAGAGGTCCAACTAGTTGACCTATAACTTGCTCGCAATAGGTTTCATGGTCGCCAAGGAGGATATATAGATGAAAGTTGCTCGTTTGGATCTCCAGCCAGATTGCCTCTGGGGCATGTGCATGCAAGGTTTGAGAAGCAAAATGGCTTGCCTGTCCTGGCAAGGCTAGGCAAGGTAAAGTGAGCAAGGTGAGATAAGATTGGTAAAAAAACCAAGCATGCCCTTGTGTACTTCATTCGGGATGTAAAACCAGACCTGTTCATCTTGATACAAGGCAAATAGTCCAGGACGAGTTCTCTCTAGAACTATTAAAAATAGAGAAAAATACAGAACAAACAACTAAATTTAATTTTTCATCTTGTAAGAGGGTTATTACAAAATCTATGCAGGACACGCCTGCTATTTCTCCACCATAGTTTTGCAAAAGTAATATTCTCCATTGTTTGGTTTCATCTCGTTGCCTTTTGCGGTATACTCATTCGCAGTTGTCTTTTTTTGCATCGTGGTTTTGATCTACATGTTTAGACTCACAACTCTAAGGCATACCATACCATGTATGGCATATATGGCTGTATACAATTATTAATGTGTAAACAAAGCTTATTAAGTACAACAGTAAGTATGTAAGGAAAAACAAACCATGCCAAAATAGCAGGTGGTTTTTGCACACAAAATCACTTAGGTCCTGTTTGGATTCTTGGAATTGAATTTATTTTAATAATTATAATTTACACATATATTAATTAAGCTAATATGGTTGTATATGGATTATATTTGTATATTATTGTTGGCTATACAAGAGAGATACTTGTATGTTGCATTTCTACCGTGAAGCGGAGCGAGTTGAAGAACTATGTTATAATTTGCAAAGTAGAAACATAGAATGGTGATCTATAGAATCAATTTCCATCTTCCACCCTTTGAATTTGAGATAGGCTAATGTGAACTTTGGAAAATGGTGAAATATCAAATTTCAAGCCAAATAGCCTAATTTGTTAAGTAGATTTCAATTCCTCCAAATAAAAGGAGATTGGATAATAACTAGCTAGCTAAAGTTAGCACAAATTATCCCCGTTTGGTCAGGGTTAATGGCTAGATTGTGTGTGTGAAAAAATAGCCATCGCCAGTTTAGATAGGCAATGTTAATTTTAGGCAAGACCTCAATTAATCTCTCTCTCTTTAGCCCACTCAAGCAGACCCTTCACCATTGTCTCATGCATTCTTATCTGCATCTCTAGGCTCTTATATATCCTACGAAAGAGGACCACACCAACCCCATATGAAATATAGCATGTTGGCTTTTACAATAAAATCACTCAAGGAAACTCAAAATCAAAGTGACATGTGCATGGGTTTATTGCACTGCATATTCTTTCTATCTCGAGAGGTGCCTTCTTGGATTGGTTGTTTTTTTTTCTGTCGACGTGATAGATTCCCATCCACATGGGTACTTGGACAAAGCAACAAAAATGCAGCCTAACTTATTGATTGGTAGCTAGAGAAAAGATCATTGATACACTGACACACACACACACCCCAAAAGAGACCGGACTGATCGAACGAACTGAACTTGGCCAAGAGAAGATGTATACAAATGGGAAGGCGATGAGACAGCACGACCCTACGACATTCTGAAAAGGGCGTTTCACAACATGTGCCAGACACTAGCTAGCACCGAAAGAAACCATATGCATGCATTAGCTAGGCTATATAGGAGTATATATATATATGTAACCTTTGCTTTGACAGGCTCGAGAGCGATGTAACCTGGACATCACAATTTAATAATTAATCCTCCGGTATGGGCCTCTGCCAACTTCTAGCCTCTTCTGCAACCAGACAACATGTGCCCGTGAGTACAAACTACGTCCAAAAAAAAAGTACAATTTTAAACTATATAAATCTGCTCAAATTTTGAATAGTTTGACTTAGCACCCGTTTAGAATTGTATCTTTTTGAGAGGGGATGCATGGAGTAGTCT